AAAATGAACTGACACCTGCATGGTGAAAAGCTAGCACCCAACTATCTGGCGTACTGCATGGCCACACCTGATAAAACTGACTGTACAGAATAATGCTAAAAGGCATGATAATAATAAACTGTAATTTCTATGTGCACTGGGTTTAATAAAGACGGGCTATACCATTTAAAATGCAACCCCACAGCAATCACACGCTATGGTACAAAAACGAAATTAGGAGGAGGCCCACCCCCATGCAGTATTCTCTCCCAACCTCCCCATTGATACTCAATTCAAGGCCATCTTTGTTGCTAGGCCAATGCTCACACCAATGCACTAAAGCTGCGCAGATATAAACATACCACGACAAGGAAGTGTCTGTCTGCGACAAGTGTTCAAGTGACAACATAACTGAAATTATGGCCACACTGAAAATGGAACATCCTCTATATATCATACCTTAATAGGTGCATCAGCTGGAACAGTCACATCAGAAAGATATTCCACAATTACCATCACATAGTTACTGTTTTTCACAGAGAGTGGAATGACATAAAATCTCGAGTTCTCACAATAACTAAATGCAATAACGTTTACTAGTCAGCAACCTATAACTGACTCAGATCTCCTTCCTTTGGCTGCTTCTTGGACAATGAGGACTGAGCTCCACTAGATCAACAGGTACCTAAGCAGCCAATCCGTGCCACTCATAAAACGAAAAGACAAAGGAAAAACGTCCAAAACAGCGGCATAATCGACCAGCAAGACTTCATTGTAACAACGGATGATGGGTGTCCTAGCATTAACAGGACTTATCTACAGTCATATAAAAACGAACTAAAAACAAGGATACACGTGACAAAACATACCTTCGTAAATTTGTATTCAATTTCTTTTTTTCACGGGATACAAAGAATGTGACTCCCGTTTTGATTAAAGTAAGTGAACTAAGCTTCCTAGCAATATCAAAAAAGCAACTTACCAATTTGTGGGATACAAAGCATGTGACTCCCGTTTTGATTAAAGTAACTGAACTAAGCTTCCTACCAATATCAAAAAAGCAACTTACCAATTTCTTCTCCATCTTCATCTTGATATCCCTTGCTAGCGTAAAGAACGCTTCTTCTACGTGGATCGAGGCCTTGGCGCTCGTCTCCATGAACTTGATCCCATATTCTATTGCCAACTGCTCTCCTCTTTCTTTTGTCACCTGCAAAACAGCATAAGACACAGATAACAAATCACGACTGTCAACACATCGAACAGCAATTCACACATAAATCTTCAAAGTACTGGATGGCACACGAGTGTTACTAAACAGAAAAACAAGAATTTGCTTACACATGGAGAAGTTTCCAAAGAAAAGATAAAGACAGAAAATTCTAAAACAATGAACACACCTGTCTCTTCTCATTGAGTTCACATTTGTTTCCTAACAGCATCTTCTCGACATCGGCCGAGGCATTTTCCTCAATGTTACGGATCCAGTTCTTGATGTTTTCGAAGCTCTTCTCATTGGTAATATCATATACCAGCATGATACCCATGGCTCCTCGGTAATATGCGGTGGTAATTGTGCGAAACCTCTCCTGTCCAGCCGTGTCCCTGCAGGAACGCATTAACAAGCACTATAAATTCAATCATAATGCTCTTTACAGTTCCAGAAGATTAGTACATAAGTCGTCAATTTCTTTCTCCTTTATTCGCTACAATATGGACAATAATTATGATTGTCATTAAAGCAGAATCTGTGTGATTCGTTCCGGTACATGTTTTCACAACAAAACAAAAGTAAGAAGACATACACATAAGGGATCTGAAATGTCATCTACCTTCCAATCCTCAACTTATCTTCTGCACTTATTAAACAACAGCGAATATTTGTTATATTCCAATGGAACGCATATATTTCTTTTGAACAAATTCTTTGCTAATATAATACTTCATTTGTCTTCATATTCATTATCTGCACAAGTAGATGTACTGTTTCAAAGCAAGTCACACAGAACTAAACAGAGTAAAAAATTATTTCCTCTGTACTTCACTAAACACTGACCATCTGAAAAATGTTTCAAATAAATGTTGCAGATCTTAATGAGATCTGTTGTTTTACATAATGTACAAACTTCAGTATTGTGAGCCATTTTTTGGAACATTTACGAAGCTTACTTCTGGTTTATGCACAGTTGGAGTAAGAGTAAACAGCCATAGTAAAATTAAATGTTCCCAAGAATTTAATTGCAAACCTTGAACACTAAATTTTATTGAAACCTGTTCAGTAATTCTGGAGAGAGAAAAAATGCATATACACAGCTATAGATATATAACCATCCCTACAAGCATTCACTTTGTGCATAGAATACATAACAAAGAAGAAAACAAACAATACAACTTACCATATCTGAAGTTTTATTTTCTTCCCATCAAGTTCAATTGTTCTAATTTTGAAGTCTATACCTAAAACATAAAATTGTACAGTTCAAGCCAACTGTGATAAATCAGTACTGAAACCGCAGAGAATACAAAACAAAGTAACCCATAACTTCTTTCATGCGACATTCTTAGGAGACAATTTCACGCTGAATGCCAAGTCCCAGCAGGGGCAAGGAGTTTTCTCTTCTTAATTGCCATAGCTAGAGGACTCTGAGATCTCATCACACAAAATTCCTTTAAATAACTTACCTAACTAAATAATTTAATCACTCCAAGGACCAGAGTCCATCTGAAGAAGGTGACAGTCACACAGCTAGTCAAGAAACTGCCCAACTTTTACAGAAGCCAAAGGATTATTCCTGTTTTATTTCCTTAAAATTGATTTTAATATTATCCTCTCATTTATGTCTAGATCTTCCAAGTGGTCTCTTCCCTACTGGTTTTGAAACAAAGAATAAGCATTTATTTCTCATCATTCCCATGCATGCTACATGCCCACTCATCTCCCTTCACTTGATCATCCTAATAATACCTTCTGAAGTATATGAATTATGAAGCCTCAAAAGATGGCTGACTTCTGGGTTGTTGCAGTTGTTAAAGTTTTACTATCACCACGGTCACAAAGAAGAGGTGATACAACTCAGAACAGTAGTCTTCCATTCAGACTAATGTTCCGAAATTGATGAGGCTGGTCACCCAAGAAGATTTTATCAGTATATGTGAAAGTTACAGTTTAAACAATATCAAGTATCTGAAGAGTAATAAATCAGGAAGCTGTATTATCAAGGGGAATTAAGTTATTCAACACTCTTCCAGCTCACAATAAAAGTTTAAATCATGATATAAAAGTATTTAAGCCAGCAACAAAATATTATCATCTCCAATCTCATACTGTATCGAAGAATTTGCTTCAATTTACAATTTTTTAAAGTCTTTAAAGCCCAGTGATAGCTAAATGTACCACCTACTTTAATAATCAGTAATTCTGCATTTGTCCAGAGAATGTATTTATTGCTTTTATATAATTCTTACAAGAACAGCAATTATTTCCTCAAACATTAACCAACTGACCACTGTACCAGTGAAGTACTGTTTTCTTTGCAGTACAAACTGAATTCTTAAATATTATTTATGCAAGCTTCGGCTTCAAAGGGTTAAGTATTGTACTTTTTATAGTACATTATTAATTAATTTGCCCCGAATAATATCCTCATAAAATAAGACTGCTATCAATAATTGTGACAGGCAATTATGTATTTGTATTATGTACATGACATTTCCTATATCCTTGGATTAGTCCTGTAAAAAATCTATGCAATGCAAATAAAATCTAATTTTGATTCTTACAAGGCAGAAAGTACTTTAAAGATCCTTACATATTATAAATATTTCTGTAAAGAGCTCCAATGTATATGTATTCACACTGGCATGAACTACCTCATTTCATTGAAGTACTGAATCAGTATTATGACCTGTTACACATCCTTGGTCATAAAATGCAAACAAATTCCATTCTGTTCTGTCACAATCAAAGTAAGCTTTACAGAAGCTACTCAGTGTTAAACTTAATGTGAATTATGACCACACCCCTTCAGAACAAATGGTCCAACAGGATATGAAACTCATAATATGCAGATACTCCAGTATACATTTAAATTCAAAATAGGAAGTGGTTCACAATGCTGAATCATCAAACTATTTATAAGATATGATAAGACTGGTATATCTAATCTGTTTTTAATCAGAATATTACTAAAACAAGTCACAAGAGTAAAATATTTGTTAACTGTGACTGTGTTCGAAGCGACGAAGTTCCCATTGTTTTAATGAATTGAAGTGTAATTACTACATTGTATTTTCAATAACATACAGCCGCCTTACAACATGACGTAACTACGGATTACCGGAAACACTGACAAGCGACTTTAAGTACAAGCACAAAATTATAAGGTTAGTCAAGTGTCATATCGTAACAGAGGGTATTCTTGTCAAGTCTAATTCTTACAACAACCCATTTCTTTTGTAAAGCAATACAATGACACCAAGTATTGTATGCTCTGAAATGTAATGCAAAACATTAAAACACGTACATTAAAAAATGGTATAACATCAATGTCGTACGAAATGCCAAGGACCTTGGTAATGTTCACCCAACACACTTCACTTACAAATAGTGCCTTACCTATAGTTGAAATAAAAGTTGTATTGAACGCATCTTCTGAAAACCTAAACAACACACACGTTTTACCAACTCCGGAATCACCGATTAACAGTAACTTAAATAAATAATCATACGTCTTTGCCATTGTATGCCTATTGTCATATGCCGTTCATAGGGCCGAATCACGGTCCAGTCGATTTATATGGCTAGCATTACTTTCACTATAATCAAACTACACACTTTCCTGTATCATAGATACGACTTGATAGTAATGCCCACAGATGAAGCAATAACGGAATCACAAAATCTCTTTCCTTCGTTTTGACATTTCCACGCAAGGTAGCGTTATAATCGTTGTCACAGGCGACCATAAATAACCACAATTTTGAGACGTCTCTCGGCGGCGAGTATGAAGATGATTGTCGTCCAAGATGTTGCACAGTCAAACCTAATAGAAACTGAATGACAATCATCGTCATGATGATTAACACTGCACCTCTAAAACGTCAGTTTGAATGACAATCATCATGATTATTAACACTGCACCTCTAAAACGTCAGTCACTTTCTGTCGGACAACACGGCACATTGCAGAAGACATCCAGATGTTAAAATACTTAATTCCTCCTACCAAGTAATTACATTAAAATGTTTTGTTCAAAATACAGATTGGCAAAAAATAAGTAATAGACAGTCATTTTCAAGCGGCATATTTCTTTTTCAAATGACAGATATCTTTCAGTTTTTAAGAAAATCGCACTTCATATGGTAATATTACCACTACAAAGAATATTCTGATACATCTTTATAACATTTTCAATTATCACATTTTAATAAGTTTTCCTTAGACATCAGTACTTACACACTAAATTAACACAAGTACTATAAGAAAAAACAAAATACGTTGTCATAATTCCTTCCTCTGAAACGTTAACATCTACCGGCCAGTCAACATGGTGCCAAAACCCAGGCCATCACCATCATTACTGCCATGAAAACATCAATTTCACAGTTACATTCAAACCTACACATAGCACGCCATGCCAACTATATTGTCTACAGGACAACCCGACCAACTTACTTGGCTCTGGCAATCGTCACACGAATATGTAAGGTAGACATCGGTATGTGACCATAATCAACAGAATGGCCTACTTAGGCATGCATATTTTCCATATTATGTGATTAGTTTCAGACGTTGATGCACTCTGAACATAAACAATTTGCTGAAGAATATATTTTACACAGAAGCAAATGTTAAAAAATACTGCAAGCTGCAGTATTATTTACCAAGTCATAAAATTCTATCTTATTTTCTAACTCTAAAATACTTTCACTCAATCAGGAATGTTGCATAATAGCATGCACTCTGGTTGGTTGTAAATATAATTAAAATATAAGATACTTTCTTTTAACTGTTAAATGGATGATCCATCACTGCACCCCATTCTACAATCCAAACATATGCCATTCTCATTCGAAAAACTTGAATATCGTAGCCAAGAAAGAACTTCCTAGCAAAAGAAACAACATCCACAAATTCTCCTATACCACCAATCAATGTACGTTATATCATCGTTGCTCAGACACAATTAAATATGGACGTATTCTTAAGAGCTTATCACTCGTAATAAATTACATTTCCTTCAGGACACAATGATGTCTTTCGGAGGTCGTGTTCCATTGTAATTCACAACGAATTTTTACAACACTTTGATAATGAAAACACACGAGATCTTCCATCTGTGCTGATTTGACAAACACAAGGATCTCCTTTCATCTTCTCAATAAGCACCCAGTATGCATAAGCACGCCAACAGCTGTAGGAACAAAATTGTTTCCTAAGAATCTTATAACGGAATGTGCGTCGCCCAAGTAAACAAATTCAACTGATCTCTGATAAATTAAAATCTGAAATATTTCCAACCAACAACAATCGAAAATTCCAATTTAAATATTTCCACATTTTTAACCAAAATCATGCCATGTAGCATTGATGGTCACCAACAACATAACAAAATACACTGAATCAAAACACAAAACCAACACCAAGGAACCTGATGGAAGGAAAGGCATACATTATAAGTACACAAACCTATGTCAAATCTAGCACTGACACCAAACAGAGTACAAAACAACTGAACTCAAACGCCAACAACTCTGAATAATTTAATGCACTGCAGGTTGGTAATCTGCCTTACTGTTAGCATCATTTCCTCGACCACCATAAAATTCTAGTTACCGCATATCACAGCAAAGCCTGTCTAAAATGGAAACACATTTTTACCTGAAATTGTTTTTGGTATGAGTCACAAAGCATGTACAGAATATTTAAATGGCTACATAAAAAAAGAAAACAAAACAAAAAAGGTATAAATGTGCACTGCTCACTAAACAGTGCAGACAATCGATTGCTCACCTGTAATTTGAATTGCAAACATATAACAGTATTTTACATTCTTTCAGGAAGAAATAAGAATGTCATACAGAAATTTGTAAAATGCAAGGTATTATACTCCCCTGGGATTTTATGGGTGTACTTTCACAGTCACAAAGAAGCCTCCAACATGGGACGAGGTCAAAGCTCAGCTTCTTTTGGGATTTTATGGGTGTACTTTCACAGACACAAAGAAGCCTCCCACATGGGACGAGGTCAAAGCTCAGCTTCGGGCTGTTGCGCCATAGGGTCAATCAGTCAAACTTTTAGCGTGTTAATATCAGCAATAATGTTGGCATGGTGCCTATACCAAGTAAACTGTAATCTGTTAATATCATACGAAAAAAAAGGGGGCAGTGTCACAGTAAAAACCCTGCGTGATACATCAATAAACCTTATGGTAACAGACAGTTACATTTCCCAGCAAACATACAGCAACACTGTCACTACCTTTCATTCTTCTACCAATTTTTAAGCTCTGTGCCCCATCTTCCTCACTATTCTTCAGTTCCACCATCTACTGCGAAGGACAGAGGTTGCCAGAAAAGTAACGGGACAGTATTTTTCTTCCCACTTATTCTTCTGAGGAATGTGTAAATCTCACACACACACGACATGTCAGGCCTTAATGGAGAGATACATCTTCCCTTTGATTGTCTGCTTCACTGGATTTATCCTCTTTAGTATCTGAGTCATGACATTCACAAGCTGGTCAGATGTTAACCCTGTCTTTTTGGACTTAAACTTCTGGAGCAGTTCTGTGGTCGTCATTGGCTTCCGCATCAGATAACGTCGCACCGCGTCTTCTGTGATGCCCGAGTCACTGCAAGACACATTTGTACTGTAGTGGAGTTAAAAGTGTATCAACTGCAAAGGTTAAGAATGTTACTGTATTTAATAACAAGGTTGAAGAAATTAAGCAAAGAATTAAAGGAAAAAATATCTCCTGTAATTCAGGGAACAAGACTGTTATTCCCTTACAAAAACAGAGGATTAAGAGAAATAAAACTGTAAGTCGTGTATGGTTGTGAGAGGCCGTCCCTTAACCAGCTTAGTAATTATCAGATAATTAAGAAAGATATATCATATGATATTGAAGAACTGTTATAATATATTATGTCAAAAATTTGGATTCTAGTATTTGCAGATTTTTAGGCTAAAATGACATGAAATTCAAATAAAATCTTAAAGAAACTTTAAGTGTAGACTTCACAAGATGAACATATGTTAACAGTAAGCATATCCGATTCGTAAACATGAAGGATGATATAACACAGCTCCCACCTGCTTCCTGAATTTCCAGGATTGTAGTAAGGAGAAAGAGTAGCAGAGGAGAAGCTGTCTAGCCGAGCTTTCTTATTGCTGACAACGGAGTGTGATATTCCAGGCTCTGGTGTTACAGCAAGTTTTCGCTTTCCACCGTCGAGGCCGTCCTTTGTTGGAGTTCCTGATCGAGAACTAGCTCCACTGTTACCAGCATATGAAATTAATCTATTAACACTTAATCAGGCGTCATATCTGTCTGCAATATTTTAAATCATAAAATACGGAAAAATGCACAATCAGAAAGTCTAATCACCTCTTTTGTTGCATATTATCTTCCAGTGCTTTGCTAAAGAATGTAGTACTATACTAAAAATTTTAATTAATTACGAGGGCCAGATAATTTAGCACACAAATAAAAATCACAAAAACTAGCACACCAATCAAATACCGTACATTGTATTTACAAAACACTTTATTACAACCTTTAACCACTCAATATTTAGAAACATAACCGAGTGTCAACATTTCATTCATAAGTCACAACTTGTAACGTGTGGTTTCTGACACGTTACTCATAACTCCAAACTGTTCAAACTACACAGCAGCACTATGTAGACCAGAACGTGATTTCACAGCCCATATACATATGAAATTTTGGAACAGTGTGCAAGGTAACACATGGACATTCAATAAATGGTGCAATACAGAAACAAATTGGTAGATCAAGAAGAGATGGTCAGAACAAATTCTGGAGCTAAACAGTTTTAAACCTAATCATCAACCATTGAGGATGAAGAAGATAAAAGGAGCATATCCAATAACTATGTAGTCCTAATTCAGAGGAAACGAACACTCCTTATTGTTTTAAGTACAAGGGACTTGACGCACAAAGCCAGAACATCAAACAGACTCACCTGTTTGGTTCCTTCAAGCTCTTCACATCCTTTGGCTGCTTTTTCCTGGCATCAACGTCGGAATCAGAGCTTTCGGAGCTAAAATCACTTGATGAATCTGAAACAAGCAATACTGTCGTTTCAGCTGTAAAATTTGGTCTCTCACTCTAAGGCAACATAATCACAGCAGTAACAGTAAGAGCAATGACAATGATAATTTCAATTCTTTATTTTAATGAGCTATCTCAACGGCTACAGGATACGATTACAGCGTCCGCACAAAAACATGAGTATGTCACTTTCATCAACAGAACACCAAGCTCAAGGACTATGTCTTAATGCACTGCTCATGCTCAGGCATCCGCATATGAACAGCATCCATGACGGAAACTTCACAATAAAAGCAGAATGATCCTTACCATGGGAATCAGCCTTCTTGGCACTCGCTGAGTGCGCAGCAGAAGACAGATGATCATTCTGCTTCTTCTTCTTCTTCTTCTTCTTTTTCTTGCTTGAGCTCCCTGCTGTGGACCCTGCCCCCATGCTGGTCCCTGACCCCTTTTTGGTGCCATCCTTCTCCTTGTTCTTCTGTCCACCACCAGCCTTATCTGCATCTGCATCAGTCTTGCCACTCTTCTCCTCCCCCTCGCTGTCCTTCTCACCGTCTTCCTTTTCCTGCGCAGCCAAACCGTCGCTTATTCGTTCATTTATTTCAAAAACTATCAACATTTCTTGTGGGATTATAAGAAGGGTTGAATATGCAGCTTGAGTGGAAAAACAAGAAACGAAAACTGAAAAACCTTGTTCAGGACAGCCAGCCTCTAAGTGGACAATCAGCCTTGAACTTTCTAAACATGGATTGCAGAGGTGTGAGGCACACGCCACAATGGGTTAGAAAGCACCGTGTCAAAAAGAACATACCCAAGCTAAAGATACGATAATTCAAAATCAGTAATTAAATATTAAATATCTGAGGTTTTCTTAAATTCTTAAATGGTTATACTTGATAATACCTTCACTTTTCTGTGCTGGAAATAGGATATAAGACAATTTTGACTAGAATCTACATTACAATGGAATCTGCAAGTGAACAATGTTACAATATTTGCCACACCTCCTCCTCCTCTTCATCCTCCTCTCCAGATGATAACAATTTTCTGAGTGCATCCTCCTCAGCCACTCCCTTCAGCTCTTTGTTGGCGAGCTGCTCAGGTTCTGAAACACTGCGTAATCACTTCAATTTTAATTTAAGGTGACCTTTAACCCCATGCACTGTACATGAGGATAATAATTTATTCAATATCTGAAAGTATGATTCAGTCTTAAATAACATTTTATGTGGATATTTCAAAATATATAAGGAACGTCAATCCCAAATATACTAAATTTATAAATGGCATGAAAATAAAAAAAAACTAAGATTGAAATAAAACTGGTAAGCACTTAAACATTAGTGGATTATTTATTAAAACAATCGAGCAACTGCAGAATTGCTGAAGTAGAACGTCAAATCCCGTACTTATTTCAGAGGATAAATTATTTGTTACGGACAGTTGCTATCAGTGACAATATTTTAGAAATTTATCATAACATAACATACCTATCTGATGAGTCAGAGATATAATCCAGTTCTCGTCCCTCCTCATCACCATCGTCACTCTCTTCAAATGCCTCATCATCAGAGTCTTTCTTCTTCTTTTTCTTCTTTGTTTCATCTCCTGGAAAAAAGACAGACATGGGATACTGGGAACGACCCGTTCTTCAAGTACCTGAGCACTGCGGGTCCCAACTTTTTGTTGGCTTGATCTGTAGAAATTCGGTAGGACTCCTCGGACGAGGGATCGGCCTGTCGCAAGGCCTCTACCTGTACACAGGACAGCACAACACAACATCCATGGCTTGAGTGGGATTCGAACCCACGGTCCCAGTGACCAAGCAGCACAAGGCCCACGCCTCAGACCGCGCGGCCAATGCAGACCCCAAGATAGACATGAGATTTCAAAAAAATTAATTGTTTCTGAATTGAGAGAGAGATCATACCACATTTACAAATGATGTAATGATAATTTCATCTCTTCCTCCTGATCATTTTAATTGTCAGCAATAATAAACATGTAGTGCATGGAACATATTAAGGGTTACAATTAGGCACCCCTAGTGCCAACTGTACCCTATTAACAACAGAGCAAAGAATCCTAACATATGTCTCACAATTTACCCTTTGTAAGACTAATATGATCTAAAGCCATAATCGGTGGCAATCAAAAGTGTTAAATCACTTCAAAATAAAAAAAATAGGCTCACTACAAACCCTTTTTGGTCTTCTTTTTCTTATCCTTCTCAGCATTTTCTTCTTTGTCTTTTTTTTCTTCCTGTGAATCTGAGTCGTCGTCGTCATCATCGTCAGAGTCTATCCATTCGTCCATGTCGGATATTTTGAGTTCTATAAATCAAAAGAGTCCAATGCTCAACCACAACATGAACAGCGCAGTTCATCACCAGTGGCAATTCAAAGCATACCTGATTAACATTACATATCGTAAACACATTTTCAAAGAAAAAGTACAGAGTTTGAAACAAATATCCCACTGTTGCATTTATATTCAAATGATACAGAATAACCTCTCACTGCAATTTAGTTACATTTCCCATTAACAATCAATCATTGGGTCATCATCAGGGTTATCATATACACTCTCGTCAAAACGTATATGTACAGCATGTTAAAAACATTACACCAGACATCATAATAAACAGACTATACGATAAAATATATTGATAAAATTTTTCTAACAGTTCTTCCATTCAGATTCTTATATTTATTCTGCACTTACGATCTTCATATTTAATTCTCTTCCGTTTGTAAGACCTGTGTTGTCTTTTATAACTTCTGACATACCACATGAGTTTCAAGAGGAACAACTGTATATTATTCTGTTCTCAACTTGTAGAAATGTGTGTATGTAATACATGTGTTATACAGCGTGAAACTTATGAATGACTGGCAAGAATACAGAAGGAAATAGTCAAGACCAAATTTCAGGCACTTTCAGGCATTTACTTGCAAAAGACTAAGAAAAGAGATGAAATGCCTCACAATAGTCAGTCTCTAGGCTGAGTTTCAAATGTGCATATGCCAAATATGTAGCAGAAGCACTAATCATCACAGCAAAGATTTTCAGCCTATAATACACACCCTTCTTGTTTCCAGCAGATGATTTCTTGGTCTTGCCCTCCTCTGGATCTTCAGGATCACCATCCTCATCACCTGGTCGCAAGCGTTGTCGCAACATGAGGGAAAAGTAGTTGACTAGTTTGTTGCGCCTAAAACACGCATTTGGATAACACAGGTAGGTTCTGAGGTTTTCACGGCGGCGAGTCTCAAGATGGCCGTCTTCTGGGTTGTTGCGCCATGTAGTCTGGTAGAAGTTTACCGACGTTTCAGAGGTCCTTCCTGCGTCCATCATCAGGTCAATGAGTGCCTGATGATGGAGACAGAAGAGACCCTGAAACTTCAGAAACTTGTACCAGACTACGTGGCGCAACCCTTGGATAACACAACTTACAATTTTATCAAAATTTTAACCCAAATAATTGATTACTTTCTTTGTCTTGGGAAAACATTTTCTTAAAATACTGCCAGGTCACATGATGGGTCAGTGTTAGGTGCCAGTATCTGTGGAGGTGAGACTTTCTTCTTACAAAATCAAGTGGTTTTTAAAATCTCAGGGCAGCCAAACAAAAATATTTGAGGTGGGTCAAATTTTATACCACACAATCACAGTCATTCAATTTGATGTTAATTAACCTACACGGGGGGGTGGATCACAAAATGACCATTCATTATCCCAGCAAACACAACAATGAAGCCAATGTGTACAGCTGATGAAAGTGTGAAATTAACAATATAAGAAATGAGTTGACGATGACAGATGAAACCAGAATGACCGAACCAACCTGCCAAACTGCTCTTCTGCTTCCTCTGCAGACAGTGGTTTGTAACGCTGAATTGGCTGGAAGTTATACCACTCCTGGAGTGGAAATGCTTCTATGGCACCATCTGGTGCATGTGTAAAGACGTAGTATGAGGCGTTTTCAGCAACTCCACCCTCTCTGTTTCCACGGAACCTATGAAGAGATGGCTGTGCAAGTTTCAAACCAAACAACGCAGAAAATACAAAAATATCTTATTATTTAGCTCAAAATATTTTCATCTTCTCAGATTCTACCTAACACCCTATAAATTAAAATTCCAGCACACAGAATTATCAATTTATCTCTTTTATACTGATCTGGAAGAACAAAGATAGTGGGAATTTGAGAAAATATTACATCAAAAGATTACGCACAGCTTAATGAATGTACACGAATGTTAGCCCCAGATCTCATCTACAATGACTTACTTTTTACCAGTCTTTCCACCAATTTTCAAAATCCACGGCTGGTCTTCTGGGCGATACTTGCGGCTGACAATACCGTACTTTTTTCTGCGGGCCTCCTCACGAGCATCATAACCAAATTCACTGCCTGCGCCAAACCTATACCAGAAACAAAACAATGGTAATTTTAATAACAGTGTCTGTGCCACAAACTTCAATCACCATACTTTATGGCATACATGCAGTCCAGGTGGTCATATCACAGTGACACACTAACCCCTAAAACTTTGAGTTAAAGTCTGACCAAGAGCCCATTACTACATAATTTTAAATCCCCTTGTCTTGTATGATGAAGGTTAATAAACCAATAAAATATATTAACAGTTTATAAAAATACAAAAGCAGGAATAACTACATCTTATATGGAATGGATGTTTCTTACAATAATGTATTCACAGTAAGGTAACGCCCCCATCTATTTGCTTCTCAAATTGAAACCTACAGCAATTCCAAAAAACATACAAAATCTGAAAAATACATCGGGTAAAAGGACACGTTGAAGAGACAGGAAAAGAAGTAAAAATCACTTTTCACAAAGTCTATAGAATGCGAAAATGATGTTGCCTGCCTATATTTCACCCCATCACTTTTCACAAAGTCTACAGAATGAGAACATGATGTTGCCTGCCTATATTTCACCCCCTGAATCTACGTGACTGATTTTCAACATCTAGACTAAAAATTACAGGGAAAATTCAATTTTGGTTCATAGTAGTCTAACACACAACCCGCTTTACATGACAGTCAAAATGAACTTAAAGTTTCTTCTAAATATTACCATATAAGCAAATGGAAGTAACATAAAATACAGGCCTCATTTATTGGAATTCACAACACCTGACCGACTTTTTTCTTTTCAGTGTCACAAATATTTGAGATATAACAGAAAAAAAATATGTTTCTGAGCATGAAAGGTGTGCTGTATATAATGTGATTAATTCTGGAATAATGGGCTTGTATGAATGTCTACAGTAAATGAAGAGTAAGACAAAGGAAGTAGGCAAAGTCACAAAGAATGGATTTGGAAAAGAAAAGGTCTCAACATTTCCACTCTTGTTACAAATCACGTAAATGTAAGTACTGACTTCGGCATCTCTTCCTCGGTACCACCACGGAACTCCCTCATATTGTTCTCACGCTCCATCTTCACCTGCGTCCATTTGCTGAAGTCTACATTTACTGATGAGGTAAATCTCATGACATGATACTTTTTCTTTGTGTTCCTAGAAACCAGAGACTGAACGTTAATAAGATACGAGCACAAATAGCAATCTGATATCACACAACCTATGTGATTGGAAAAACACTGTTAAATAAATCATGAATCAAGGGGTGAAGACAAAGCTCTGAACGGACTGTTGCCAACTGACAGGAAACCTATGTAAAGACGTACAAAACACACTAAAGAGGGCTAATGCTTGTCTTTGAGAAGGTGATGGCAATCTTCAGCTCTTGCCGTAATTCTATTCTGGAAGTTCTTCATAACAAATGAAAGCTCAAAAACACCTCATTTATCATTACTAGGGCAGAACGCTCCTTTCAGAGCTCCTCGGAGGGGTTGGTCAAGTTTTTAAAAAGCAACCAACACCCTTTCGGGGGGGTTGGTTGCGTTTTAAAATCTTGAGTAATACACTAAACTCGGCATTGTTGTGTTCCATAACAATGCCGAGTTTGTTTATAGTTGACATTGTTGATGACGTAATTTATTGACGACGATGACGAAATCACAAATTTTTATAATATATAGATATTGATGTCACCAGAACTTACATTGTTGTACTTAAGTAAAATAAAGCTTTCCAACTACACACAATTCAGGAACTTGGGAGGAGAGGTGGTATAGCTACTACTCATTCTTAACCTTAGCACTAGATACGGGTAAGTGTTTAGCATCAAGCCCCAGCCACACTTTATGCCTGAGAAGAGACCCCAGTACCCACTGGATAGGAGGCTGGGTGGTCTCCAGAGGTGGTCTGGATGCAGACACTAGAGGAAAATTCTTCTGCCCTCAGGGATCAAACACCAGTCATCCAATGTGCAGGTCAGTCAATACACTGACTGAGCTACTGCAGCTCCCCAATGATGTACTTAGGGTTATGATTTAAATAAAATACCTATACACATATACACACAGAGATGATAAATATATTTTTCCTGCTTATGGTACTGAAACAATTATCACAAACTTACTTTGGAACACGAATCGAGTATTCCTGGACTGAACTCCCTGGAGTGTGCTGGAAGGTAAACATCAAATCAGAACAGTACTGAACACCGTATGCAAAGTTCAGAGTAATACCCATTGGAAAATAGACAAAACATATTTAAACTGGCAATAAACATCACCAACATAATTCTGCAATACACTTTTTTGCAGTATATATAAGCACACTATTTCACAGCTAAGTTGCTCCAAACAGAACTACAGACTGTTAGTGGGTTTAATTGAACACCACAACTTACACTATATAAACCAAATCAGAACTTAACCTGAATTTACTAGTGCTATTTTCTTAATGCCAGATACAATGGTCAATATGCTATGAGGATCAGTCACCAAAAACTCATTCATAAGAACAACACTGAAATTAAATTAGGAGATACTTTACGAGGCACATCCTAACCCTAATAACCACAGGACAATTCCTAGACCAACCAAGTGAGTAGGAGATTCACTTGTCTTCTGTGACTTTCATAAATTTTTGTCTTTCGCATGATTGTGACACTAATTATCTGACACTGTGCTAAACAAAAATTGGAAATAAAAACAGCAGGGGTCAGTCTCACAGAGTTCAAGAACAGTTTGAGTGCTGATAGGTTTCTTTTCTTTTGCTAATATTAAGCAACTTGTGCATAAGAAACCTTCTCTTCATGACAATGAATCTATATATTTCTGATGCACTTCAAGGAATGACAGTTTTTCTACTCATATTATCTAAATAACCTTCTCTTCTTCACCAAGTTAGAGAAGTGGTGGTATCTGAAACAATTCACAGAGACTGAAACATGGAGATGATATAGATGTATAAATTCCGGAATAAATACACAAATTCGAATACAGGATAGTTGTAGTAACCTGTCATAGTTTCAACAACTTTAGCATCGTAAAAAAGCTTCCGGAAAATGGGAAGAAAGCGCTTTTGATCGCCGTAAGTTACCTATTAAAACCACATCAAACCTATCCAGACGGTAGCAGTGTGATTTCAAAATCAGACTCGGTATATGGCGTGTGAAAGATCGTATTCTTCGTTGTATCCGATTTATCTAAAGAAATAAATGTAACCAAATAACCTCTTTTCTTCTGTAACGTAATGGCTGTTTATAATGCCTCATTGCTTACTTTATAAACATAAATATACTCGCCTGTGAATTATTCATTTTTCAGCTGAGAGACTGCCGACGACACAGCTTGTGACGAATGTTAATCACGAACTATTAAGTAACTGAACTTGTAATATATACAAGCAGGAATTAATAAGACCCATATATGTTAATGAAACAAATCATACATAAATAAAATTCTTTTCACTATCCATAACAACATTCTGAGCGCTCATATCAACCATGACGACCTCATAACCAAATACCAATCTACCATGTATCAGTGTCGCCAATGTAACCCGTGCGTATTTCTCAATAAAGCACAGAAGTAATAAGCTATCTCGGTGACAAACAATCGCGACTGCCAATACATCCAGAAAGCATTCTTTGGTTATTTGGATACTATACATTAATTTATTGTAATGTTGATGATGGTGATAAGCCTCGGAGGCGGGGTTTGACCCTGGGTCATACACAGATACTCTGTACATCAGGGTGGGGAAATAACTGTGATATAAATAATAACAGTGGGGTCAAGGTTTCTACAAAGGTAGCTAATAAATACTTTGAACATGGGGAAACAAATATTTGCTGGTGACTGAAAAGAGTTCAACTGCATTCTCTGTAATTTGTACATAGTTTGTTACTGCCTTCAGCAATATGAAATATGTATACAATTTACCAGTCATATTAGTTTCAAACACTTAAAGAGAACCACCTGAAGATGAAAAAATTACAGTCAAAACGTAGTGGACCTTATAATAAATACTGAAACTGTAATAAAAAAATTTGTTGCCGACTGACTGTCAACCTAATGGTTTTTGATTCCTGACAACCAGATGTCCCAACAGATAGGCTGTCCTCTTATCCCTTCCTACCTAAAGATGGAAGCAGAATTCAGCTTTCAAAATGTTGAAGTTTTGTAATTTTATAACTTAGACAATGGGGAAAAAAAGAGGATGTTTGAGAACAGGGTGCTGAGGAGAATATTTGAACTGATAAAGTAGCAGGACACTGTAAAAAATTGCATGAGAAGCTTCCTGACTACTATTCACTATTCAGTTAAAATTATTAGTGTGGTGAAATCTTGCATAATAGATGGGGCACATACCATGCATGAGAGTGATGACAAATGTACACAGTATTTTGGTCAGAAAACCCAAAGGAAAAAAAAGAGAGCGCTCTAACCACAAAGGAAAGGAAAATAACATGACATCTGAGATTTATTCTGAAATTTTCAAGCAATGCTATAGGAATGTCATAAGAGTATATTCTATGGGTACTGCATCCATTTCTAAATGTTGGCAGAAATAAAGAAGTGACACCAACTAGCAAACTTATGATGGATTGCTCTTATCACATATGATACCACAATTTCATGTCACTATCTGTACAACTCATGAAAAGATGTCTTTTGTAAAAATATCGCCAAATAAAATTATAATGGATTTATGAAAGTATTCTGAATATAAACGGAGGGTTGACTAGTAGGCTATGATCCTAATGACAATGAACCTTTCAGTTCTGTAACAACAAAGTATTTCTTGATCTGAATACCTATTAACAGCTCAAGGAAAATCCTGCTGGAACGTTGTAATCTGACAACACACACATCTATTAGGAATTCAAGGCTGCCAACTCTCTGCAGTGCCTTGATAAGGTGCAGCAACTGCCAAAGCATTTATTTCTGTTTGGACATGGTATCTAGAGCATCATTATATTTTCTGCAACAGCCAAATTGAACAAGAAGCTATCAAGTGCCTGAGGCAGGTTTCTGTCCCGCAGCGTCTCAATGGATACCATGCGCTTTCCTTCAGGTGTTGACACTGTGGCCAAAGACCTGTTGACAAAAGAGCCAGACAATTTGATCAGAAATGGAAAAAATTATGGCTGACATTTACATATATTAAGTTTTAATAAATTTGGGAAAGTGTCCTCTATGTTAGTAAATTAGTATACACAAACTTTCCACTCTTCTCAGCTGTGCATACCTTACTGTCCTTAACATTCATTTACAAGCCTCCAAATGGATCATACACCGAGCCAGCGGAATCCAGTCCACACACTCACACTATATTTCCTTAAGACACATTTTATTATGATTCTTCCATCTATACCAATGTCCCTCTAGTAGTTTAACAGCCAAAATTTCTGGCAAACTGTCTTTGATTTATTTAATAACAAGTGAAGAATACGTAACCTAAAACTGCTGTCAGTAGAAGATCAAATACAGAAATATGCAACAAATACCCAAAAATCACACACGCATGACTGCATGCAAATCCTAGGTGAAGAAAAATTATATGATGTTCATATGTGCAAAATACTGATCAAAGGGTTATATGCTGAAACATTAAAGAACAGACCTCAACTGGTTCAAAAGCTCTGTCGTCTTGTCCGCTATCTCTTGTGCCACCTGCTGCTCTGAAAGACTCTCATTCTCCGCCAGCTGTACCATGAACAGGGCTATGTCCTTGTGAGTCTTCGTCATTGTCATTGTTTCTGCAGAAAATGATACAATTAACTCCTTGGTCCATTTATTTCAGCAGTTGGCATCTTGCATGGTCTACTTTATTGTGTTCAAACTTTAATGCCTTCAGCCCGGTTCTGAACTGCAGCCTTTGAAAAGTCATAATTCATTCCAGTGCTGGACTGAACATATGTTTAAAATTCAAACAATAAAAACTGATCCTACTGAGGTCTCAGTTCGAGTAGGAAAATTATGTCAGAATGTTTGACTCGGTTCAACATTGATGCTTGAAGGGGTTTATGAGGACCCCATCAGTTTGAAAGTTTTATATTCTCTAACGTTGATGCTTTTGTTAGAAAATCTGCCCACAGGCTATACAATATCAAATCATGCATATGATTTTGATTACAAAGTTTAATAAATAAAAGGGTAGGGAAAACAGAAAGAAAATGTAGAAGTGAAGATGAGTTAGCAATTTTAATTTTAACTTATTCTGAATTTTGACTGTGTTATATGTTAAGACTGATTGCTTCACAGCAAGGTTGTTAGTTACCTTTCGCATGAGCGGCCACTGTGATCTCTCGGGCCGGAAGGTTTACCAAGACATCGTACAGATCTGTGCGAGCTCCTACACCACTGTCCCGACAGCCAGCCACATAACTTGTGTTGCTCTGGAAACAGATGAACGCACTAGAGAAGTGCTAATGGTCTTTACCTGCATTTGTGACGTTTCGAATTTCAGTCAGGTTATCAATTATCATAACTGAAATGTCTGGTTTCATTCAGTCCCTCGTACAGAAACCAGGGCATTATCTTGAAACAGGTCATGACCAACTCCTTTACTGTGGATGGTTTTACACATTCAAACAAATCATTTGCCATCATATCTAATGCAGGAAAGTCACTAGAATTGTTGTGTCCAAAATCCAATGTTCCTGCAGTAACACAACAGAGTTCTTCATTAAGTAGCCATGCCATGAATTCAGATGTTTTGCAGTGAAAATGCTTTTTGTTTTCAATGGGAAATAAGGTTCTGGGACACACTAATGTACACTAAACTTTAGGTTGATAACAAAGGTTAGAGTTTAATATGTAGATATGAAAATATTTAAAGCTAATGTAGACAGAATGGGTCAGGACAGACAAAGACACCAAGAAATTCTAAACCTATGGGGCAAAGAGTAAGACTAATATGATAATGATGATGTTAGAGGAGGAGGAACTAAGAAGACAGTTTTGGGGTGGTACAGGCCTAATCAGAAGAAATAGTATAACAATGTTTCGGTCAGCTTTAGATGAAGAGCAAGCGTTCTGCTGTTGCTTCATATTCCTTTAAAATTTCACCGTATTCTACAGCCATCTATGTATATAACTGAAATATACAATATATACATCAGGCAACGATATATGGTGGACCACGTGCATATCCTGAAATGAAATTCACAGTATAAGAGTTAATTTTTGAATTCTGTTCATGCAAAAGCATTACTTTAGCATTCTGTCTCATGATTTATAGAGACGTTTTGCTAGGATTACATTAATTTCTGTGCACTGAGTCTTACTTTCAGATCCAGTAGTTCATCAGACTGCAGGTCTACCCATGGGAACAAGATATCTGCTGCCTTTCGGTGCCACATCAGAGCCGGGAAGGTGGACATCCACTGCAAAACACATCAGTAAGTACAGAAGGAGTATCCCAATACAGTACCTCTGGCACCTACAACTTCCATAGTCGTGCCTAGAATTTTCCGCAAGTTATTTTGATGATTTTTTTATATCTTTGGATATTATTATGAAACACATTAAAAATTTGTGCAATGTAGTTCTGACTCCACTGTGTAGGTGACAGCTTCAGCACTAGCAAATAAACTTACATAAATTTTAATTCATTAATTACATTTCTGATATATATATCCCCCCCCCCCCAGATCCTAGTTTTCTGGAGGTGGCTCCTACATTCATAGGACATTTGTGCAGGCCTGCAATATGCATTTGATCCAAATAATTTCTTCACAATCTTTCATTTTCCATTGTCTGGACAGAAAAAAATATGTTAAGCTGGTCATTCTGTCTTCAGGTACAACAGAAGACTTACCTGTTCTGCTAGTCTGTTTAAATACAGCCACTCCCTTCCACTAGACACTGAGGTAGGTTAGGTTAGGTTAGGTTCTATACACAAAAAAGAGCTGCAAAATTCAACAGGATACAGCAGTAGCAAATTAACCAAAGAACATTGTATATCAAAATGTATAAAGAGATGACGTACAGATAGAAATAAACAACTGACCTTAAGCATGATTTCTAAGTTGTGATGATACACAACAATCCTCTTCTTCAGAAGAAGGGCTGTGTAAATGAGGATGGTTTCCAGGCCAAACATTCTGATCAGTTCTAGAACAAAACACACGTGAAGGAACTGATCATTAAGAGCTAGCAACGTGAAATCAATCACAAACTGCACACATGCTACAGAAGCAAGTTTTAGGATCGGTCAACAGTCTTGCTCCAAACACATGCTGAAAAGTGCTTTCTAAATACATAAGAATTCTCATCATAAATTTTGGCATGCGTCATGGTTTCGTACATGCTACTGGACTTGCAGAAGTAATTAAGTAATTACTGAAAAGTATCTTTACTTACTGAGTGAAATTTCCGTGAACAAATTTGTATTTTAAAACTACTGACAGAAAATAATATTCTTCAAAACCTATTTCGGTTCTGGATTCTGGCTCCAATTTTTGGAGGCGGTACCTTGATTTTTGGAAAACCTGCTCAGACCTGCTCTTTAACATTAAAGTCAAACTTGAAATGAACTTATATAATGTTCTGTGTTCATCCAAGATTTTCAGTGATAACGCTTGCACAAATCTGCACTAACCTTTTATTCTGGAGTTGGTTATGTGACTGTTGTGATTTGTGTGAGCCTCAAAGTCACAAACAAGGAACGTGCCATTCTCCTCAGTTGTACATGACCCACGAGTCATAACTGACAGATATAACTGAAGCATAGACACTGGACTGCCAGTCTTGCAGTAAGTCTTGCTCAGCAACCGACACAACGTCTCGTACTTGTCTGGGTTTAGGTCTCGACTCCACAGCACAAGAGCAAACTGCTTCACCTAGTGGCAAGAAAGCCAGACCACATCATAACATCTCCAGTGGGTGTGTATGCAACAAGTCTTGCAAATTACTGTCATAATTTACATCTGTATCAGAAACAAGTATTGTATCTGTGCTATGACATGTTATACATCTTTTGATTGGGGCTGTGAAGAGTCTGAAGAATGTAAATAAATTCTATTCTATTCTACAATGTGATTATGTATGCTATTTACTTCTTCAATGAATTTTGTTCTTGGGAGTTCTCCAATTATATTTGTACTTATAGTTTTTTTTAAATGTGACAAGTTGTTCTCTGGCCTGTCTTATACCCTGCTTCATAGGGTCTATGGGACACATCTACATCTAATGCATCCATAATCTCATAAGCATTCCTCTTGTATCTTTGTCTGCTCTTTCTTTAGATAGTAGCCGCCAAATATCAATCAGTCAAAAGAAATACTTACCCCTGGAAGGTTATCAGACTCAAATACTTCAGTGCAATTGATGTAGTACCATGCCTTTCCACTCCGCCCATACACAAATGGCTGTACTGCTACATGGTCTCCATCCAGACAACATTTCCGCAACACCAGCGACTTCTGTTGCTCGGTAACAGATGGGTAAGTCCATGTCCACAGTACTTCACCATTATTGTCCTGTTCTGAAAGAGATCAATAACACAATTTAGCACCTGACAGAACTTGTTCACTGGCAAAACAACATCAGCATAACAATTAAGGAAATATAACAAGATTAGGAAGTTAAAAAAACGACATTTTAAATTCTGAAATGATACATAAAAAAACTGATTCAGTCTAAGATAATTCACCTAATACCCAGTGATTTTATTTATTTGAACTTATTTAATGCTATTTTCAGTATTTCATATTACACAGTGTGGAATAAGAGGATGACTGGAAACGAATTGAAATAAAGTGGTTGTGGCATAATTAAAGGTACTACCCTGTCATTTGCCTGGAGGGACTGCGGCAAACAATGAAAACTCTGTCAGAATGGCCTGCTCCAGGCTGGGATTTAAACCCAGGACCTTTCAAATACGAAGAATTGACAACCACTTAACAGGACGTTCGGTACGCTCAGTGATGCATAACCATTTGTTGCAAAAGTACAGCAGAAAGTCGTGTGATCTGACACAAGTATGAATATGGCTGTCGTCTGAGAAGGGCTTATTACCTTCGTAATCAGGTCCATGATGATGGAGGCAGTAAGCACCTCTGAAACGTCAGTCACCTTCAACTGAATTACAGTTCACGGAAAGTGAATTCGAAAAAAGACCCATAAAATACTATTCAACAGTGACGGCGTAGTCTATGTGTTAACATATTACCTATAATGTTGCACGCAATTAAATCCACAAGAGACGACATAACCCCAAATTTCAATTAATAAGACCATGCACCAAATACACAAGTTACAAGTCAGACTGCACCACAAGCAATCAACACATTTGTAAACTAAATTACATGTCTCATAGCTATCTTTCACTGGCTTAGCAATGAGATGAAAGAATAAGTAACACTAGTTTAAAGAAAGTAAACAGTGTACTTCACGGACTCAGAATTGTTCATAACCCAAAATTCTATTTAATCTCTGTAATTGTTCCAGGTACTTTGGTATCATAATCTGGGGAAATTTCAGGATATCTGTCATGTTGGTGTTTGTGTAAACTTCATAGGATGTCGGATTCCGGTATCTGTGAACGTAGACATGTGGGAAGCAAATCTCGATTCACGCGGAATTGCGATTTTCCATTTACATGATATTGTATTCAAATAGGTCATCTGTACAAACGCTATCGTCTTTCCTATGGCGTCAACTAAGGACAGTGTACTTATTTTTAAAGGTAGCAATTATCTTCGACAGCGACTAGTGTTATCCACATTGAGCGGCAAACCTGTTAGAATAAAAGAAATCAGATCTCAGGATGACGAACCTGGTTTGAGAGAACATGAGGTTAATTTAATACGCTTATTGGACAAGATAACAAATGGATCTCGGATTGAAGTTAGTGAAACGGGTACATCTCTTTATTACCAACCAGGGCTTTTGTATGGGGGCACAGTGAACCATGAATGCTGCAAAGAGAAAGCTATTGGTTACTACTTGGAAGTTTTAGTGGCATTGGGACCCTTCTGTAAGAAAGCATTGCATATAACTTTGAAAGGAGTGACAAATAATCAGAATGATCCCTCAGTGGACATCTTTTTGAGTAGTGCTATCCCTATCGTGAAGAGGTTCCTTGTGGTTGATAATGGCCTTGAATTGAAAATTACAAAGCGAGGAATGGCTCCAGAAGGCGGGGGAGAAGTATTGTTTAAGTGTCCTGTGCGCAGGAACATAAAACCTATCCAGCTTGTTGATCAGGGGAAAGTGAAACGTATACGAGGCATCGTGTATGCGGTACGTGTCTCTCCAACTATCAGCAATCGCCTTGTTGATGCAGCCAAAGGAGTTTTTCTACAGTTTATTCCAGATGTGTACATTTATACAGATCATCACAGAGGCAGTATGTCTGGAAAGTCACCAGGTTTTGGTATTGCTGTGGTTGCTGAGACTACAACAGGGGTTTTTTACTCTGCGGAGGCCGTTTCAAACCCTTCTGGTTCTGGGAGCCCTCCATCTGTACCAGAGGATGTTGGCAAGGAGGCTGCTTTTCTTCTTATGGAAGAGATTTATAGAGGTGGGTGTGTAGACTCAGTGTTCCAAAGTGTTGCCAGTCTGTTCATGACCATGGCACCAAAAGACATCTCCAAGTGCTTGATGGGACCATTGTCACCGTATACGATCCAGTTCTTGCGACATCTCAGAGAGTTCTTTGGTCATACATTCAAACTTGAAAGTCATAAGAAGAGTAAGGAAGAGGAAGAGTTGAATACTGGTGCAAGCAAAGTTCTCATCACCTGCTTGGGAATTGGATTCACCAACTTGAGCAAACGTGCTGCATAATGTCTGTTTGATTGTAAAGAGTGATCAGTTTTTAAAATGTTTCTAATTGATCTGTCATCCTACTTGCATGTTACATGTAAATGTTACTGGCCAATGTAGAAGTGTCTGTACAAAATTAATATTACTTAACATTGATAAAAATATTTGTATGATTTAGCTTATGTTGGCATTACTCTAACATTTGTATGTTGTTTAATATAGGAGGCATGATGAGGCAGGTCGTCACAGTTTAGTAAACAAACTTTATTACATACGAAAAATAAGCTCTAGGTGAAAGGAATAGTAAAATATCAACATAAGAATGTGTCTCACTGCGCACAGAAAGTTCATCTAAAGCAGAAAAGGTTTTTGTATAAAAAATAGTTTATATATCATAATGACTGACAATTTTATATAGCGTAAGACAGCAAAATACATTGTGACAGGAGAGTCAGTTGTATCCAGGTTTTCCTCCAAGTGAGAGATGTTTTGTATCCTCACAAAAGTATGTATAATTGCTTCAATCTTTGGGTTTTGGAAATGAAACATTCTCAAAATGCTACAATATCCATTTTAATGACTTAACACCCCACCCTTATCAAACTGCTTGTTCCACTGTGTACATTTCCTTATCATACACTGCTGTTTGCAGGATTCGGCACAGGAGAGTAGGTTATAAGCAGTACTGTTTCAGTTTCACAGGCTAATGTCAGTGACCAGTCTGGTGATGGCGCTGCTATCCATAAACCACCAGACAGACTTACATTTCCTTATCATACACTGCTGTTTGCAGGATTCGGCACAGGAGAGTAGGTTATAAGCAGTACTGTTTCAGTTTCACAGGCTAATGTCAGTGACCAGTCTGGTGATGGCGCTGCTATCCATAAACCACCAGACAGACTTATGCATAGACACTTCCATGTCACAGATAAGTTATCGATGGTGGTGTTGTGACACCTTTGTGAGTAACCACCTACATGTCCAGACAACCCAGAAGGCGATCAAACATCTTCACCATGGTGACAGCCTCATCTCATGGTGAAAAGAAGATTCTGGTTACAGAGAAAGACAATTACCAGTCAGAATGTTTAGAATGATTGTGCCGAAGTCCATTTAGAACAATATCAGACTTAAAAGTTTTTATGGCGGTGAAAGTTTAAACTGAATTCTTCTGGGATCCAATACCTTGTAGTCATGTCGGTGGCTACCAACATTTTTGTGGTATGATACCTCCATCCTCAGGGTAACCTGAATTTTGTATGTATTATTTGTTTGTTCCATCTAAGCTACACACGTTAATCTTCTCCAGTGACTGTCAGACTAATTAAACCAAAGTTAACCAGCTTCATGGTATATGGACGTTCTTGAAAAGTTGACAGTCATTCAGGTGGTAAAGATACTCCCTGCTTTTATGTAACAAAGGTTCATTACAAAAATTCTCCTGTCCTAACTACTGCAATCCACACTTTCAGACCCTATCTAAGATCCACTTTAAATCCATCCACATCCAGGTTGGTCAAGTTCTTTTCTCATTTCATGACCCTAATAATCTCAAAATGATGCAGAACTGCTGAAACAGATGCTTAAGACGTTAAAGATACCTTATTGATAGAGCACTAATATTTTTTCGTCTTCCACTGGAAAGAATTGTTCCTACTGAAACTTGTCACCTGTTGAATGCCATCACAAGTTCAGTGTGCAGCGTGTGCGGAAACAGATCAACTGGTACGACATGGCTCAGTGAGAACTGCCCCTTGTCACAGAGCTGTATGAAGTTGGACATGGTGTTGGGACTGTCTGCCTTGCAGGATACATACACCACATGACGGATCTGCTGGCAGCTGCACAGGGCTTTCACAACCTGATGATCTGCATGGAATAAACAGATTTGATGATCCATTCCTGAATAGTCGAGAGTCCAACAAATAAATAGGAAGGGACATGTGCAAGTGTACGTCAGCCAAAGCTAATGCCACTCGTTACAGGCCAAGAAGGTTTCGTTACATTGAATATCCTATGAAAAGACTAGTGCAAACAGAATGAAATATTTTGATGGAATTTTGGATCTGTACAAATAAGGAGATCACTCACGCAAACCACTGCGACCAGGATTCACAACAGCAGCTATATCTGATGCCATTCCCAATTCTGTGATGATTTTTGGAATTTTCTGAAACATAAATGGTGTCAAAGTGTAAAAGAAATCCCGTCTTTGTATAAATGCATCAAAGTTGTTACCTGGCTTAACACAAAATTTCCAATATGTTGGCTGCAGGTTGTGTATGTCCAAATGACTACGAGTTTCATACATCATTCAGTTTCTGACCAACACGCGTGACTTACCTTCTCAGCAAGGCCTGGTATGAACTCCACATTGTAGACGCCATTAGCGAGGGCATTCTTTCTGGCATCTGTGACTGCACTGTATACTGATTCCACACCAACTGCACCTCTCACGTGACGAGATGCGAGGATGCTCACTGTACCTGCAGCAGTACAGAAAAATTTAATTCCATTGTCTTCCAATTTAATATTAGCTGGACCCTATTCTGAGCCCATTAAATCAAATAACTTGATTAAACTTATTTCCTTGCCATGTACTTTAATATTATCCACACAACTATATCAGTGTTCCAAACGGCCACTTTTCACTAACAAACTCCGTGTTGTCTTGAATTCAGAAAAACACAGCAAGCAGCCTGATAAGTATAGAATTTGACGTTTTCAGAGTGATGAGTATGAAGATGGCCGTCTTCTGGGTTGTAGTGCCCCACTGGTCTGGCCAAGGCTCTGCCTTGAGTAACAGTTACAATATCTCAAACTGATTCCATGCTCACAGCTTACTCATCACCCTGATGATGGAGGTAGCAAGGACCTCTGAAACATTGGTAAACTTCTACCAGACTTCTGTCTTCAGCCTGATACGGAGCTACCAATAAATTACAAAACATACAGTAACCTGCTCACCAGTGCCACAGCATACGTCGAGCAGTGTCGTCATTTGAGTGAGGCCAGCCAGCTCAAACACCGTGTTATACAGCACAGTTGCGGCAGCAGTGTTTACTTGGAAGAACGAATCGGGCGATATCTGGAACCTGAAGTCTCCCAACCTCTCCGTCAAGTGCGCGTCTCCGAACAGAAGCGTGTACGGAGCCTGATCTGCGGTGCAACGTGTATGTCGACTGTACAACAATCGGGTGAACCAAAATTACTCAATCGCTCTAAGGATTATGGAAAAGAAACATGCAAGTCAAATAGCTACTTGTGTGCTGCTGTTTTATGCTTCAATTGAATTGAGTAAAATTTGTTTCAATGAGATTCATATTTGTGTGTGCTTCGTGCAAAACGGAGAAACAAAACATATTCCTTAAACGTAAGCCTGGAACTAGTAAAACTACGTGGCTGATTTCCCTTACCCATAAGTCACCCCTCTCGTGGTGGTGCTTGGCAGACCCTGGGTTTAACATTGAGGCACATGCAGTGACACGACACAGTAAAACAGAAACTGACAAATATGATTCTGTGTCATACCAAGGCTGAAAGTAGAGAGAGGAAAGATTGCACCGTGCTCCGGATCCATGAAGGAAGAAGTCTCGGAGCTTGGCGCCCTCTTCTTCCAATCTCTCCTGCTCCAAGTTTTGTGGGTTAAAAACAACAATGGCCATGATTTGACCCTCCTCACTGGAACGCACCACCAGACTACGCCAGTGTCCACCATCTTGGAGATGAAGGCATGCAGGCAATGGAGATAACCGGATGTAGTCTTCATATGCCTATAGCAG